TGCTGCTGTTTGCTGCTAAATTATTTGGACAATTAAATCTTCATGATGGATATGTTATTGATTTCTCTCAAGCTAAGACAGCACTCAGGGATGAATGCAAGGTATTTATATTTATCCTCCTCTTTCTCCTGCTGCTCCTGCTCCTGCTGCTGCTGCTGCTGCTGCTGTTTGCTGCTTGTGGGTCTGGGCGTCTATATATATTCATGATGGATATGTTATTTATTTCTTACAACCTAAATGGGCACTTAGGGATGTAGTATGCAAGGTATATTTGTTCCTGCTGCTGCTGTTTGCTGCTCCTGCTCCTGCTGCTGCTGCTGCTGCTGTTGCTGCTGCTGTTGATGGGGGTGGGGTTGTTGTTGCGGTTCTTTTGATGGGTGGGGGTAAGGGTGATGGTTATGTTGTTGCTGCTGTTGCTGCTGCATAAATATATATATTTATATATTTATTTATATTTATTTAATTAATTAATTAATTTAATTAATTAATTAATTTATTTATTTATTTTATGTATGCATGCGCAGTCATTAAATGAACATTTAATAGTACCTATGCGTAGTGATGTATTAGAGATAACACAAGAAGGAAGCAGCATACGCATGCGTTGTGAGGATGGGGCTGAATTCTTGATACCTAGACAAGATTGTCTTGTAAGTATTTATTTATTATTTACTAACACTAATTAGGGTTTATAAGGGTTTATATAAGGGTTTATAAGGTCGGTGAGGGTTCTTGTTGTTGAGGGGGGTGGAGGAAAAGATTTCCTTAAAAGGGATCTCTAGGGTTTAGGGTTTAGGGTTTAGGGTTTAGGGTTTAGGGTTTAGGGTTTAGGGTTTAGGGAATGGGGTTTGTGTGCAGTGTTTGCCGATTGTTCATTCAACTGCTGAGGAATTAAGTGCTTATATATGGCAATGTTTATTGGATACACTAACAGAAGGACACCTAAAAAAGAGAGGAATAAGGGTAGGGTTTAGGGTTTAGGGTTTAGGGTTTAGGGTTTAAGAGTCATAATCATCAAACCCTCAGATAGTTGAAGAGGTCGTCGTTTTTCTATACTAGATATTAATCAACAGGTGTGTCTAGGGTTTAGGGTTTAGGGTTTAGGGTTTGAGTACTGTGTGCAGTGTATGGAGGTGTCGGTATCGGAGAAGGCAACTCAAGTTGCGGTGTACAGAAGATGCATATAGATGAGGGTTTAGGGTTTAGGGTTTAGGGTTTAGGGTTTATGGTTTCTATAGATTATTAAGAATCGAGGGTTAAGGGTTTAGGGTTTGGAGTTTGCAGTAAACCCTCATAAACCCTCGAGAAGATTGCCGACAGCGGTGATGCAATCGAAGCAGCAGCACGAGCTGCTGCTTAGCTGGTACTGCTGCTGCTGCAGTTACTGCAGCAGCAGCAGCTACTGCTGCTGCTGCTGCTTTGCATATATTTACAGTTGCAGCAAAGTAGTGCTGCTTTGATATCTTTTTATGATCCCTATCGAGGGTTTAGGGTTTAGGGTTTAGGGTTTACTAGACGTATTCTCCCCTCGATCAACAGATGGATTTTCAATACTTACATCCATCCCTTTCGGTCCTTTAGGGTTTAGGGTTTATAGAGAAGAGTTTATAGGGCTTCTACCTGAACTTTAGGGTTTAGGGTTTAGGGTTTAGGGTTTAGGGTTTAGGGTTTTGGAGCTCATTTTAGGAGCACAGCTGATGTCTTCGTTGGAACAGTTGCATTTTACATAGAACAGGAATGCAAGAGGGTTAAGGGTTTGGGGTTTAGGGTTTAGGGTTTAGGGTTTAGGGTTTAGGGTTTAGGGTTTCCGTATCTTGGTGTTCAACAATGAAATAAAGAAGTAAATATATTAATTCAATTAATAATTTATTTATTTATTCTATAGAATAAATAAATAAATAATTATTTAATTAAATTAAATAATAAATAAATAAATAAATAATTATTTATTCTTAGTTAATACTTTAAATAAGAAATTAAAAGGGAAAAGGAGGTCACCTTCGTCGATGGGGTCTGCTGCTGCTGCTGCTGTTGCTGCTGCTGCTGCTGCTGCTGCTGTTGCTGTTGCTGCTGTTTAATTGAAATAAATAAAATTAAATATTTAAATAAATTAAATTTTATAAATAATTTAATTTTAATTTATTTTATTTTTTTTTTCAATACAGCGAAGGCGAAGGCCTCAAGGGCTGGGCTGCTGCTGCTGCTGCTACTGCTGCTGCTGCTGCTGCTGCTGCTGCTGCTGCTGCTGTTGCTGCTGTAGTAGTAGCTATTTCTTTCCTTCGTAAGACAAAAGGATCTTCTATAAGAATTAACATTTTATATTTATATTTCTTTGTCATTAAGGGTTTATAATGTAGAGTTTATAAATTCGGACCTTAGGGTTTAGGGTTTAGGGTTTAGGGTTTAGGGTTTGTGTGATCCAGGAAGGTCGAACCTTCGACGGAGCCCTCGCTCTAGGGTTTAGGGTTTTGTCTGTATATTTATATTAAATATATATCCCTCAGTAAACACTAAACCCTTGCAAGGAAGACGTAAACCCTAATTGCTAAAACTCCAATAATATTGATTTGATTTCTACTACTTGGCTAACAGGGTTTAGGGTTTAGGGTTTAGGGTTTAGGGTTTAGGGTTTAGGGTTTATGGTATAGGGTTTAGGGTTTAGAGGATGTCATCTCCAGGAGAAAGCCCTGCTCATTCCTTGGACTCTAGTCCTGGTGGTGGTGCATCTTCTTTAGCAGCAGCAGCAGCAGCAGCAGCAGCAGCAGCACAAGGAGGATCACCATCAGGAGGAGGAGCAGAATCCCAAGGTCAACAATCCTCTTCCTCCTCCTCCTCAGCAGCAGCAGCAGCATCAGGACAAGGAGGAGGAGGAGGAGCATCAGGAGCAACAGGAGGAGGAGGAGGAGGAGGAGGAGGAGTAATAGGGGAGAGTTTCTCATTACCCTCTGTAGTATTACAATGTAAACATGTATTCGGGTGTACATCCACCATACGTGGTGCTGTTTATTTTATTGATAATTCTACTGTATGTTATACAGCAGGAAGATTAATTATTCTGCATAATATACAAACTAAACAACAACAATTATTACAAGGTGCTGATGAAGGAACACAAGTCGTCACTACTGCTCTATCCCCTAATCGACGGTCAGGGTTTATGAGGGTTTACGAGGGTTTATGAGGGTTTACGAGGGTTTATGATGGTTTACGAGGGTTTATGAGGGTTTACGAGGGTTTATGAGGGTGTATGAGGGTTAAGGTCTTAGGGTTGTTTTTTTACGGTTTTCTAGGATTTTCTCTTATTTCTAGTATTTAACATTTTCTATGAATTTTTAGGGTTTAGGGTTTAGGGTTTAGGGTTTAGGGTTTAGGGTTTAGGGTTTAGGGTTTAGGAATTTTTTTTTTTTTTTTTTTTCAGATATTTATTAGTATCTGAGCGTGGAGTTCGTTTACCATTAGTTTGTGTATTTGATTTAATAACATTAAAATTAAAGAAAACCCTTGCATTAGTAAATTGTAATTCTAAGGAATTTATATCTGTTGCTATTGCTGCGGATAATCGTCATCTTCTTGCATTAGCTGGACCACCCGATTGGAGTCTTGTCTATTGGGTATGGGATCGAGCTAAGGTTGTTGCTTATTATAAGGTACGAATTATTAGGGTTTAATAGGGTTTATTAGGGTTTATTATTAGGGTTTATTATTAGGGTTTATTATTAGGGTTTATTATTAGGGTTTATTAGTGTTTATTAGGGTTTATTAGGGTTTATTAGGGTTTAGGGTTTAGGGTTTATAAGTAATAATGAGTGTTGAATTATATATGGTTATATATACATATTGAAATAACAATATGAATATATTCCTGTTTCTTCTGTTTCTGCTTCTGTTTCTGCTGCTGCTGCTGTTGCTGCTGCTGCTGCTGCTACTGCTGCTGCTGCTGCTGCTGCTGCTGCAGCTAGGAGTGACGCAAATAGAGTATTGTATATGTTGTTTATATCCATCAGATATTTCTGTGGTTTGTTTACTTGGTGATTGTATTAATCGTTTTCTTCGTCTACAAGAAAAACAATTAATTAAATTACCTAATTATTTATTAAAAAGACAAACACTTAAAGTTATTTGTCATGCTTGGCTCAATGATGATCTACTTCTTATTGGATCACATACAGGTAAACCCTAAACCCTAAACCCTAAACCCTAAACCCTAAACCCTAAACCCTAAACCCTCAGATTTTTTTTTAATTTTTTTTAATTTTTTTTTTATTCAATAAATAAATTAAAAATAAATAAATTAATTAATTAATTAATTAATTTATATATACATATATTGTTGTGTATACAGGTGAATTTTTATTACTAGATAATACAGGGAATTTAATTCAAGTTCTTTCTTGTTCTCCTGGTGTAGAGGATTTTTTACGGTGTATAGACACCACAAGTAATGGATTTATATGCGGAGGTGTTGGTCCTACTATTCATATTTATATAAAAAGCGAAGAAGAGAAAGTCTTCTATCAATTACAGACTGATCTATTACTTGAACATGAATCGGCAGGTATGCAGCAGCAGCAACAGCAGCAGCAGCAGCAGCAGCAGTAGTAGTAGTAGTTGTTGTTGTAGTAGGAGGAGGAAGAGGAGGAGGATTAGCTGAGAGATGCAGCAGCAAGTACTGTTGCAGTTACTGCTGCTTTTTGTTTCTTCATATCCTGCTGCTCTTGTTGTTGCTGCTGCTGCTGTTGCTGCTGCTGTTGCTGCTGCTGCTGCTGCTGCTGCAGAGGGTGCAGCAGTGGTAGATTTAGCAGTGAGCCCAAAGGAAGATAAGGTAGCCGTGAGTTTATCTAATGGGCAAATGTTTCTATTAACATTAAACCCTAAAAAACAGCAGCAGCAGCAGCAAGGAGCAGCAGCAGCAGCACCATCTCCTCCTGTTCTATCTTTTCTTCATACTTCTTTCCATCATGGAGCTATTCTTAGTAAGCTATATATATATATATATATAT